TTACCTATGTATGTAAATGTGGCCCATTTATTTTGTATGTTTTTGTTTTCGTTGGGTTTTGTTGTATTATTAGGTTTTTTATTTAGTTTGTAGTTATTATATCCGTTTTCTTTAAGAATTTGTTGAATGATTATTAATTCTATTTGTTTGTTTTTTATAGATATTGGATATAGATTTTTTCTGTTTAGTAAGTAATTGATAGCCATTTGTTTGTGTTCGATGGGGTGGCAGGATGAGGCATGAATTATTGTGCTTGTATTTGTAGGTTTTCTGTAAATTTTGAATTCGAAATTGTTTGTTTTTCTTATTATTGTTAAATCTAAATAGTTTATTGAGTTATTTTGTTCAAGTTCTAATGTAAATTGTATATTTTGATTTATGTTGTTATATATATAATTTATAGAATAAGGGCTGAAAGGAATAAAATTTGTCTTAAACGAAGAAAATGCTCTTTATTTAAATCGCCACAAGTGGTCTCAGTTTCGTAAATAAATTTTGTACGGTCGTACATTAGACCTAAGGGGAAAACTACATTAATGTGTCTACTAATCTCATTTTTATTGAAGATAACATCAGATTTCAGCTTTAATTCGTAGCAGAAACGAACCAATCGTGTGAGGTTCTTTAGGTTCTCATGTGGGTAAGAAGTCTACTCTGGTCTTGTGGGCCTCGACTAACCTCGGAGACCACACGTTCCTCTAAGACGTTGACAATCGCCTTATACCTGGTACGGACAGAACTTCATTCGCGTCGATGATTTTTGCGTGGACTGTACACCTCTCCCATGCCTCTCATCGATCTCATCTCGGGAGCGTTGTCATGGCAACCATCTCACCCCGCCTGTGACGAAACTCCGGGCACCGAACGTTTGTTTCACGACGCATTTGATTTGTTCCTTCATTCTAAAGCAACCGTGTTTTCGAAAGTTCATAGAAGCACTTTATTATATTAAAATATAAGATCCATCTGTTGGAGCAGTGTGTAGATCCCACAAGATACAGATCTCGTTCAGTCGCATATAGCAGGAGTAATGACTTGAAAACATTATACGGAGCTCACAATTTTGTATTTAACATTACGCAGAAAAATGGTAACAATTATGATTCGCATATATCAGAGTATAAAGGGTATAAATACAACGTTATTTTCCATATTCCCAATAGAAGTTATTTTAATAAAACGTTTGTTACTTTTCAAAGAAGTCATACATAACTACAGACATTATATTCAGTGGCGTAATGTTACTCACACAGAATAAGTTTGCGAAAAATCCACGGTAGTTTGTACGCAAATCACAGAAATCTGTGAAGGTACAAACTACCAGAGTCATAATGAGTTCTAGTGCAAATGCTGTTGCAGGATACTGATACAAAAAAAAATGTGTTTTAGAAAAGGATAGGCCAATTTCCCTTCCTGGAAATCTTCGTCAACAGACGCCCAAACATTTCACTGGGGCACGTCTCTGCAGGAAGTCCACCCACTAGCTTAGAGGAGATCTGTCATTGCGACTTTAACGAAGTCTAACCAGGTCTCCGAAATACACGTTAATTTCTTTGTGTAACCCAATCAATGGCTGCTTCCGGTAAGGCATCAACATAGCAACAAAGGCCAGATCCGCCTTCAAAAGCAATTTATTTATTATTTATTTAGTGTTCTGTCTGACGACAGGTCCATATGAACAGGATCCTTCCATCCTTTTCTCGGACTGGGACCTGTTCATATACGTTCTTGGCAGATGATCCAGAAGTGGTTTGCCATTGCCTTCTTCTGTGTGTGAATGGAGAAACCGGGGAAGCCCCCGGAGGAAAACTCCGTGTTGCCTAGACCACGGCCTTGCCCAACACAAGTTATAAATTCGGGCACCGCCGGGAATCGAACACGAGACCCCAGGATTACAAGGCCAGCGTTCTAACCGCTAGACTACCGTGGCCACACAAAAGCAATACAGAATAATAATATGACCACGCAGTATACTTGTCACGCATGCAAGAGACAACCAATCTCATATCCAGGCCACTGAAGAAATACGTCAACCGAAGCCCTCGACAAAATGGCCACCAGACTCAAATCCACCAAAGACATAAAACTTCCAGGTTCAAAATTGTTCAATTGCAAAATCTCCCGCTCCTGTTGTAAAGTTTTACATTGGACAAACGAACTGTAACAGGAATTGGGAACGCATTACAGAAACCAGGCTGGAAAATCAGAAATCAGCGGCAACAACTGAGCATCGACAGCGACATAACAGCCACCATCCGTACCCACAATTCCTGCGCAATCAGGGAAGCAACTACGGAAAGCAAAATATCCCACAACGACAACCAACATCTTTTCTTCCCCTAACCATCCTCGCAACCAATTCCTTTACTAAATAACAACTGAACGTCCATTCCTAACCAAATGGAAGTAAAAATATATTTTGTTACTTCTCCCATTTCGCCAACTTTCTCAACAGACCCCCCTCCCTTTTTCATTCTTTCCTCCCATCGTCTTCCATCTACTCCTCAACTTCCCCTCTTCTTCCGACTTTCGTGCTGGAAAGAGACAGAGAGAGAAAAGTCACTTCTTCTCTGACCCCCGTGCATCCAAATAATTCCCACAGCCTCCATCCTAACCAATTTCTCAACACCGTCCGAACCACGTGGTCGCTAAAACATTGTCATCACCGTCAGTCGATAAAGCTTCTTTTATGAGCTATCCACGTGGCCCTCAAACTCTTCCAACATTACTGCATTTCCTGAACCACGTGCTCGCTAAGGATTCCTGTCAATAACGGGCCCTACCTCGCGCTCATCACATACCGTCTTGTCGAAACAAGATTCCTAAAACCCCTCAAAGACTGCGCGTACCGAATCTCGAGATCAGCTGCACGCATTCAGGTCCAGAAGCATCAAGTGTCTTCTCATTGCAACCAACGCGCGTTGATACGCTAATAACACGCAGAGGTCTTCAGCCAAAGCGATTCAGACTTCTTGAGCTCAAGTCTTAGGATTTCTTAGCAACTGCAAGTTTAAGGACGTAAGACGACGATCCCGCTAACTTAAGCACATCCCCAGTCATGTAGACTTTAAAGCGAAGTTCTCTACTTTCAGATAAGCTTTTTATAAGCAGAGATGGTCTTGAGCTTTGAGGAAGACGACGTCTCGTATTTAACTTTTTGATTGCTTAGTTGGCAAGTCCACATTTGATATGAAGATATCTACTGCAAATGTTAGAAAAGTTCAAGACTCGTGGCTTGTCCCCGAAAGTTTTAAGTTCATAAAACTACAGTCTGGGAAATCTACGTACAAAAATAAGGCAGTGCTTCAAAAACGGGATGAACGGACGGACAGACATTCACAAGAAGGTCACTAACTGTCTCCAGAATAAGCATAAACAGTGTTTCCATTGACGTAAACATTTATGTATAGCCACGGTGGTCTAGCGGTTAGAACGCTGGCCTTGTAATCCTGGGGTCTCGGGTTCGATTCCCGGCGGTGCCCGAATTGATAACTTGTGTTGGGCAAGGCCGTGGTCTAGGCAACAAGGAGTTTTCCTCCGTGGCATCCCAACAATTACTCCATTCACACACAGAAGAAGGCAATGGCTCATCTGCCAAGGACGTATATGAACAGGTCCCAGTCCGAGGATCCTGTTCATATGGACCTGTCGTCAGACAGAACACTAAATAATAATAAGATGAGGTGGTCTAGGCAACACGGAGTTTTCTTCCGTGGCATCCCAACAATTACTCCCTTCACACACAGAAGAAGGCAATGGCAACCCACTTCTGGATCATCTGCCAAGAACGTATATGAACAGGTCCCAGTCCGAGAAAAGGATGGAAGGATCCTGTTCATATGGACCTGTCGTCACACAGAACACTAAATAAAATAAAATAAACATTTATGTGTCTGCTTGACGTTTACAAGCATCAGAACATTGATTACTTATTTTGATTAAAGATGAAATAATCAAAATTGTTGTAAGGCATTTTCGTGATAGGTTTACAGGTGCTTGAAATGACGAACAAAGATTTGATGTATCATGAGACAAACAAGCAAACTGACTCCAGAGACAAGCAAGAACTTACCTCTCCGACATGTTTGTGAAGGTCGATGTGATGTGGAGGACGTGGCTTGAAGGAGCTGCTGGGTGGTGTTGGAGGCGTTGGAGGGTGATGGCTCCCTCTGTCGTGGTGATGTTGGTGATGCTGATGCATGTCAGCCAACGTGGGCTGTATATGTGTTACAAACTGTGCCATCGCGTTACTGCAAGAAATTATATCAGCGCTCAAGACAAGAACTAGTGGTGAGAAACCAACTAACAGAAAAGCTAGCCGATTTTAAACTGCTAATATATTGTATATATATATATATATATATATGCTTCGTTTAAGATTAGAAACATTTGGTTCTGGCTTGACAAAAATTCTACCAATTTGAGAACTTGGTAAGAATTTTTGAACGACTATTGCTTGTTCCTTCGTATGGGATTACTTTAAAAAAGCATGTTCCCCACACACTAGGCATAGTAACTTATTAAAAGTAATTCAATTTTATACTTTTTATCAAATACCACAAAAATTAATTCTTCATGGGCTAAGATGGTTTAATAGATAAAACACCAATGTTTGGAGAATCTTATTCGTCCTCGTCCTCAGGGTACTTCAGATGGTTCTCGAAACGTTGGTGTTTTCTTCATTAAGACAACTTACACTTCTGATAGAACCAAAAGAATTTGAGTCCAATAAAAGCTTCAAATAATACATCACAAAAATACGTCACGTAAACATTCGAAGATTCTCAAAATCACAAAATCCGTTGTTTTTAAAATGTAAAAGTTGTATAATAGCATTTTCAGTGTGATTTCAGTTACCAAAGACAGAGATATTTAACTGGACGTGTGTGGCTGCACTATTTCAACAGTTATCGATATCAGAACCTGAATGTAACTAAAGATTTCGATAGGTCGCTTTGTTATTATTACTTATTCTTAGGCACAAGAACTTGACGAAAGCTGAATATTCTTTTTATTAAATGAATGAATCTTATATTATAGAGTCTAACATTTCTCCTAGAACTTCAAAATATAGCTCGAACTGTACAACAACTCCAAATGCAATAATATTTTACGTATTAATAATCTTCTTCAATCTGTGAGGGAATTATTTTGATTAATCGAACTTCGCGGTCGAGAGCTCACTACTTCTTATTCTTATTACTCGAAAGATCCTTGTTTACAATCTCGGCCTGTAGTAGTAGTAGTTTTACTCAGACACTAAGCAAATAACGGAATATTATGATGGCGGAAACTGATCTGGAGTGTACTTTTTGTACTCTTGTTCTACGTTTATGCTAAAGAAAACAAATGTAATTTGTATCACATATTTTAATCCGAAAATATTATCACGAATCAGACTCGTAATCCATTCAGAACGGGTCTGGGTACGTTCACAAAATACGTGGATTTATACATGCTAATAAGTAAACACGAATAAATTAGAGAGTCCTATATTAAAAGGGAAAGCATTTGGTACTTGCATGGATTTAGTGTACTCATTTTCCCTCTCCCCGCAGAAAACAGTCTGTACCCAACACAACAGGTTACAAAATTCTACAGGAAATGCACTAGAAAGTTACTTCATAATGAAATAGCAATAAACAGAGGTTATGATCGTCAAATGAAATAAACTTTCAATCTGTCAAATATGAATTTATGTTACCCGAACGAAAATTCTCTGAAACAACAGTGTTTAATTGGCACACGTTTCAATCAGATTGGAGTACGTCACAAAATACTGGTATTGTTTGTAACTAATTTAAAATTTGCGTTTGTTTTGGGGCCAAACTTTGTCGATGGGCCTACATATGACAACCGAAGTGACTTTTGGATGCCAAGTTACCGAATTAATCATAACTGATCTACAAATCCATCTTAAATTAAACTATATATCTTATTATTTCAAAGAAAAAATTTAAATAGAATTAAATGTTTGAATAAATTATAAACATAATTTAAAGGAAGTGCAGTTCGTTTCACGGAGGGATGCATTCGGTTATTTGTTTCGCTGCATTTTAGATACGCGTTATATTTTATCATTTCGAGACAAAACGAAACAACACAAAAACCAAAATTGAGTGGTTATAAACATTACAATTCAGTGTACAGTTTTGTTAAGCGTATGATTTAAACCATGTTAAATTTTATATTAATGTGCGAAATATTATTTTTTTTTTAATATGTGTGATCAGAATTTTTAAATTTTATATTAATGTGCGAAATATTTTTTTTTTTTAATGTGTGTGGTCCATAATACATTTCGTTTGGATTGTAAAGTTTCAAAATACTAAAAACACACAAGGTCACATAGACCCTTCTCGCATTTCAGACTACTACTCAGACTGGCGGTCGCCTTTAAAGTCGGTGGTCTTTCCGGTAACACAACTTAAAATAAGGCGGTGTCGTCATTGCCCTCCGGACATCGCGTCTTTGACCGACAACTCGACGGCTGCATTTCCAGAACTGAAATTGTTCTGCTGTCGAACTAATCTCTTATAAAGTACCAGGAACAAGACTCAGGAAAATCGAAACAGGTGTCCAAGAAGCCTACCATGATGTTCACGCCATTGATGCTGCACCAGGTAAGTTAACTGTAACCGAGAGTTTCACTATGCAGACGCATCGCCATTCGGATGAGAACTGATCAGAGATTCTTGCCGAGGGTAACGCAAGCCCTGAGCGCGTGCGTCATAGGAAGACCGTCAGCTCCCACACAAGAAAGGTGGGATTTTCAATCAGTCACCCTCAATCTTACTTTCACTTCCGAATGAGCGGTTCGCCCTCAGAAGGCCACAGGTTCGAGAACCGCGAATACTCAAATGTTTAATTATATTTAACACCTGATTTTTCGATTTCCACAAGGAGTAAATTCTGTTTTCGATAAGTTAGTAAATGCACTATAATTACTACGGCAGAGTAGATTAACAGATAAAAAAATCTGCTCTCATCTTCGACATGTTTTACCGAATTCGTGTCAATCTTAGATTCCAGTCTGCAAAGCGACCGTAAGTCAGAACCCCGGACACTTCGATGACATAACGCGCAGGCCTCTCTCTCTTTATAACGTTACACGTCTCTAAAAACAGAGAATAGAAATGATTGAACTCGACTGTTTGAAGTCTCGGCAATCTCGTATTTAATATCGAGACACAGCACTCGAATGAGACTTCCGAAAACCTTTCGCAGAAGCGAAGGGATACTTGATGGGAAGGTAATTCAATTATTTACGAGAGGAAACGGTAGACGTAGGTCTCTATTTGCCAGGGAAATATCTGTATCTTAAGGCGCCGGGGCAGCTCGATCAGTACAGTGACTGGACGACCGGGGTTCGATCCCCGACGGGGACACATGATCTTTTCCCTCTAACCTCTGCGTCCAGATCTGGGGTCCACCTGGTACCGGGGTCCTTTCCCGGGGGCAACGCGCGGCTGGGATGTGACGCTGACCACTCACCCCCATCTAGTGCCGAGGTTAAGAATGAGTAGGAGCTATATCTCCTCTCCCCCCAAGCGCCTACATGGCGTATAGTGGGACAGCTTTAATTCAAATGTCTGTCACTTTCCTGGATGGGGCGAGATCGGTCTGAGTTGTTTCCCAAATAGAAGGTAAATTCTCGCACTTAGCCGAATGTTGAGGTGCAGTTGTTGGAATTTTTCTTCGTATTGTAGAAAACCTCAGCTGGACGCCATCTATAGGTATCCAGTAATCAGAGTAATAGATCATCAAAAGAGTTTCAGATTTCTACCCTATTCGTTGCCAAAAGACACTAAAATAATACGTTCCAGTTATTTAATAATAAAAATCGGCTTATGAGATCAGCCATCCCTTCCAACTTTCGATGTCTTCTCTCGTTACCTTCTAACATCTTACAAAGCACAAATTGAAGTCGGAGGAACACTAAAAATGCTTAATATTACGTCCTTAAATTATTTCTTAACTTAGCTTTAAGTTTTAAGTGACGACGAAAATATAATTGAAGCCAAGAATATTATATTTCGAGTGGCGACATATTATAAACTTTATACAAATTACGTATGAAATATTCTATGTAAATCAGTAATTTCAAACGTGGCAATGATCCGAAAAATGTAATTCCACTTTCAGGGTGAGAGTCTATATCTAAAAGATGAGTTCTTCCCGATAAGTAACAACAACTGCTACTGCTACTTCAGTGATTCCCCAGCATAAAAGTGAATTTAATCTTATCAACCTAAATTAACTTTTGGAGCTGGTTCCTAGATAACACGAATCAATTTGCTATCGCAGCGGAGCAAGGCAAGAAAGACTTGTTGCCTCTTCGAAGGTGTGTGACAGGTCGATTCAGCGACCACAACACAATTTCCATGAGTGCATTAGTGGATCAATATGACTGTAGTTGCGTATTTCGCCTGTCAGTAGGTAATCTGAAGCAGATAAGATTGGATATCTTGGCGCAAAAAAAACTCGTCCCTTTCAGCAACTGCAGTTAAGCTACACCTTTTATTTAATTCAGGCTGCTAAGCCGTCTTTAACCAGGACCTAAGTCTACAAACATTCGCCTTTGAAGAGTTACGCACTGAACAGCGTAGGACTGACGTTCTGCGATGTCTAATCGTCAAGGTAAGAATGAATAAATAGATACTTGATGACGGCGGGTCAATGCTGGGACCGCGAGTTTGAATTTTGATAGGGTTTGGGATTTTCGTCTGAGATTTTCTTGTTACCCTGTGAACAGTGATCTCCGATATATGCTTCTCAGTAGCGTGAGAGTGTTCTGATCGTCAGATGCTTACGTTGTGTTTGTTTACCTTCTATGAAGCGTGGACTGTACTCTGTCGGAGAACATGATTTCACTCAGAAAACAACGGGTGCTACCATCTACAGGGAACTCGATTAAACGTTGAGAGTTTCTCTCGCAGATGACGAGCAAACAGTATCAGTCTACGTCCTTTTATAAAGATTGAAGTTGTAAAGACATTTTTATACACCCTGTAGACGTTCTTTGAAATGGCGAGGCACTGAGAAAATGGTTCAGCGTAGGTTGAGCTGGTGAGAATTTTGATATGTGGGCTCTGAGTATTTTTGTAGTAATATGGCACATGCAGACTAAACTTAGCTCGGTGATATCAGAGCATGTGATATTATGATTGATAAAACTACAGGTGAGATAATTTTAGACATGTGACAGTGAAAACAGAACAGGTGTGAATATTAGAGATAAGATCAGACCTTTCACGTGAGTACTTCATACATGACGTCTGACAGCACAAGTCAAACTGTGTATGAAAAATTCCTGTGACGAGACAGAAAAATATATTTCACAAACATATCAGTGCGCAAGCAACAGGCCGGTCTGTCGTGTCGTGTTCTAGCCGGAACAGCTGATATTTCTATATCGCTCGGTAGAATGAAAAAGAGTTCCAGTTGTTGATAAAATGTAACAGTGTGTGAGTGTGGTTTAGTTCCGGGAGATATTATTGTCTTCTGCGAAAAAAGGGTTTGTATACGGTAATTATTGCTGACTTCTAAACTGAATACCTCGTAATTATATCAAATATAAACATTTAAATACATATAATTTTATGCTTTGTTGATTTCGATTTAAATAATACTTTTCACTGGTGATAAATGCAGTATAGACCAATAATGTATTTCCAAAGTGTAACCTAATTACTCAGTTTTAACGGAAAGTACGATATATATGATGATTTATAAATATTTTTAATGTGTATGTGAAGATTCTGTGTCTTCGTTGCATTACATTATATTTCATTACATTATATTATAATACTTTGTAATAAATTACATAACACTACTTTACATTTAAGTAGACATGCATTACATTACATTAGACTATATTACCTAACCTCACCTCGTAAGCCAAGCAGTTTGAGTAACACAGATCTAGGTTTCATATTGATAAGTTGTAGATTCATAATTCTTAATCGTCTTTCTATTTGTGCAAGGAAGAGACTAAATGAACGCAGGGATTATGTCATTTCCGGGTGTAAAAGCTGGGATGTGCTGAATCGGAAGGGATCTAGCCGGAGACGATCGCCGGGAATTTGAGGTTAATGTGACGATATTTTTCGGAAAACCCCAGAATACAGACTTCATGTCTTAGCCCTAAAGTCGATCTCTGAACGGAGTTCTAATCGATTACCTCATTAATACGTGTAAGATACCAGAGAAGTCGATAATTCAAAGAGATTTGGTTCCAAAACTTCATACTAATTCGATGGATCAAATTCCTTCTCGAAGAGCTATTAATCGCCCAGCTACTCAAGAAAACGAAGGTTCAGGTCCCGTGTCCACAAGAAATTCAAAGAGATTTGGTTCCAAAACTTGATACTAATTCGATATATCAAATTCCTTCTCGAAGAGCTAATAATCGCCCAGTTACTCAAGAAAACGAAGGTCCCTCCACTGGAACATATCCTGAGTCAGCTAATTCCACATATGAGTCCCATTTCCTTAAGATTAACTTTTAAATTATTCTCCTAATAGCGCCAGGTATTCGGAATACAATTATTTACGCATTTCTCATCTTTTCCAACAGTGCAACACGCCCCACCAATCTCAACGGAATTTATAAGTACTATTATTATACTACGCGTATCTAAGTAATGGTTAGCATTTTATGTCATATTCAGGAGGTCCGAGTTTGTATCTTGTGTCGGTGAGAGCCTAGCTTGACTGAAGTGTTCGTGATTTTAATCAGTTCCTTCAAAATCTCAGATATCTTATAGACCATTAGGAAATAGTCGCTCCTTCCATACACTTGACCTTTCATCATTCACAATCATCTTGTCATTTAGTTTATCACGTAGTTGATAAATCATCGTTAAATACACCCGAAGAAAAGGTGAAGGCTGCATTAACCATACCCTGGAATTTTCTACTCGTGTTGTGTTTGCAGGTGGAATGATGCCCGGACAAAACAAGGAATTGTCTACGATCTATGGTTCCCAAGTTGGCAAGACTGAGAGCTTTGAGGTTATGGCTGACATGAGAAATGGCAATGTTAGCATGGGGAGTAGCGGCAGCTTACCGTAAGCATGTGTTCAGTAACGAAACTCTATTACAGCTGGACGTTTCAGGACGTCCGTCGCCTAGTTTCCTTTAAAATGGTTCATTCTACAAGATGAGTCTTGAAGGAACTTAACCAACCATTTCATTGGTCAGTTTCTATGCATTCCGTCATCTATACTTACCAACTGATCAAGTGATATTTTAAATTTACCGGATTAAACATCAAAATTCTCTACTGCCATCATGTCTCTAGGCTAATTGTAAGCATATTAAAAACGTTTCAAATTATTATGGCTTACTACCTTGAATGATGTATTAGTTGTCGAGGGGTGCAAGTATAAACAGACTACAAATGACCATCATGCTGATATTTTGGTTAAGAACACGTTTACCTTAAACAGCCTTAGTTTTCCTCTGACCTCAGAAGTTCGCACGGTTGCCATGTTGACGTTATCCGTGATAAGGAATTAAAAACTTACCGGGAAATGGCCTCTAGTCGTTTGATATCTAATCGAGTTTCATTTTTCTTTCTTTTGGTTTAGTTGTTATTAGAAAGACAGGCACATGGAGTTAATGACATTCATAAATCTATTCCTTACACAACGAGTAAAGTAGCTAAAGATGCCCTTAAAACTCGTTTTACTAAATTCAAACAACCAACAGAAATTTTACTGTATAAGTCAATAAATTACTCAATTGATTCATTAATTAAACCAATGAATAACAAATCTTATATTGCCAAATCCAATATTGACATGACCCTGCTCACTTTTACTCACTGCAAAATAAACATTAGTTACCCCAACAAGCCGCATCACAGAGACAATATAAAAAAAACAAAATTTTCGATTAAATCAGATTGGCTGCAGTGATGAGAATGGAGGGGGTAAACACCAGTCACTCCATAGACTGTCAGAGGCTGTGTTAGGTTAAGATATTTCAGTCTATTTCCTTTATTGCAAGAACATTTAAATAGTGTTTTATTTTTATTAAAGTCGACCATAAATTAATATAAGACATTCGTGATCTCTTCGCATTACCACAATCTCAGACAGCAAGATATCATTTTTACGCGTTACCAAATCGAAAAACGCCTTGCAGGGACGTTCTATTCGCAGATTAGTTTAACCTTGAAGTGCAAGTGTGTTCTGTGCGGAATACGAAACGTCCTGACGTGCTATCTACTTACTTATCAGGTGCCTTAAACACTGATAAATAAGTTACCTTTCTGTATTGACTACCAGGTAATTCCCCCTGAAATTCTCGGCCATCGTAGAACAACTATCACTCATTCTACAAAACAATGACGTAATGTCTTGACTTATTTTTATTTTGTACTCCCCCGAGTTATTAAAGTATTAAAAGGCTTCGTTCATTTGTTTCGTGTCGAAAACGCGTGTTCTGTGTAATGTGGACAACAGTAAAATGGAACATCGATGTTGTTGTGTTCAGCACCAATTTTAAGATTGCCTTCTTATGTTCGTGTGTCAAACTAAAAGCTAAACGAACTTTGCTGTTATTATTGATTGTAAGTTAAAGAACCGAGGTCCTGACGGCTTCACAGCGTTCAAAATTTCATGTAAATAGGCCACCTGGTTCAGAAGTTAACAGAAAGTCATATAATTAAATCTGTCACGGAAATATATTATCAACTTTTCCCTAATCGTGTATGAAATATTGCCTATTACATGCATCGTCATGACTTCTTCCCAAAAATTAAATGATAATAATTACAACATAAATTCGCCTTATGCGATATATTTAGAATTACAAGAAATAAGAAATTCTTAATCGAGTACGATTCGATCCTGTGGCTATTTCCTCAAGACCTTGAGTGAAATTCGTCGTCAATATTATTTCAAATACATATTTATATTAGAAATATATGTAATATACATAAATGTAAATATATTATAACTTACATTACCTCACTGGCAGCGGCGCTGGGATCGTTGTGTTCACTCCCAGGGGAACTACTTCGAGGGTGATGGATGAATTTAATACCTGAGATAAGTGTACGGGATTTTATACGCGCAGTCTTGAAACTTTCCGATCGCACCTCGTATGTACGTGTGTCAAACTAGAAGCTAAACGAACTTTGCTGTTATTATTGATTGTAAGTTAAAGAACCGAGGTCCTGACGGCTTCCAGCGTTCAAAATTTCATGTAAATAGGCCACCTGGTTCAGAAGTTAACAGAAAGTCATATAATTAAATCTGTCACGGAAATATATTATCAACTTTTCTCTAATCACGTATGAAATATTGTCTATTACATGCATCGTCATGACTTCTTCCCAAAAATTAAATGATAATAATTACAACATAAATTCGTCTTATGCGATATATTTAGAATTACAAGAAATAAGAAATTCTTAATCGAGTACGATTCGATCCTGTGGCTATTTCCTCAAGACCTTGAGTGAAATTCGTCGTCAATATTATTTCAAATACATATTTATATTAGAAATATATGTAATATACATAAATGTAAATATATTATAACATACATTACCTCACTGGGTTATACAGTAGACTTGTAGTATTTAAAATACGAGATTGGTTGAACTTGAAGATCGTACAGTAAGAAAATAGGTTTGAAAATTCTTCCTTAACGCCTTGTTATTGACAGAATTAGAGGTAGACAGGGATTATATAGCCAATAGGCGAAATTTTTCTATCATCCAAAGTACTCGATCAGTTAAATTTGTTGTTTCTTTTATATTTCCCGCTACGGGCAGTTTCTGTTTCCGCAATGTTGGTACTCTGTTCTCTGTCGGGCAGGGTCTACCGAGAGCATTACTGCATCTGCACGCCGAAAACGCAGCTCGAGAAGACGCTTATCATCGTAGTCGTGGTGCTGGCTCTGATAACCGTCGTCCTCATCATCGTGATCTCCGTTCTGGCAGGAGACAAGGAAAAAGCTCGAAGTCTCAGGGAAGTCGTTCAGGCACTTTCGCCAAAAATATGATATTTTCTCTGCCTTGTCTCCAAGATGAAGAATGAACAGTCTCTTTCTCACACCAAGCTCTACAGCAAAACAGACGCGAAGAACACGCCACTTTCAGATTTATACTTCCATGAGTGACGCATTTAGAATATGAAATATTCGAATGTGACACGAAAAGTGATGGATGATGGTCCACCGATTTAGACATTTCAGTGCTCAAGAATCTGGTGTATTCATCGTCCGTGGTTTTCATAATAACTCATTTCAAGGTTAGGGTATAAACTTAGTCCAAACACATCGTAATTTTTTTTTTTTTGGACAAATTAGTTTCAGTGTAATTTACGGAAGGGGCTTTCGATAACCAAAAACTTAAATGACTCCTCAGTCACGAAAATACTTGCTAAGATTTCATGTTCTTACGATGAACATCGTCTTCTGGAGTCTTGCGTCTTGTAGTCTGGTACACGTTTACCAACGTTCCAGAAGTAAATTCCCACCAGACTACAAGCTGCAATGACCCACAGGCATCTTCACGAGTTCTTCTATTTTGGGGGGGGGCATTTTTTACAAATGTCACGTTTCTGATGGAGCAGACAGCTCTCAAATTGTCCACCAATTACGCAGACTGACGTCAGTAGCTGGTCTACAGCTTACGTAACGAAAAACGTTAATTAAATTAAAATTGATTCAAGTTAATAAGAACGACACAGAAATTCATAAAACAGACTTTAAATAAAATTTAAATCATACTCTGCTAGTTCCTGAGACTTATCTTAGGTTCCATTACATTAGCACAGAACCTACATTATGATACCGAACACTCCTGCTTCGTATTAGGAAGATCCGGGGTTCAAATCTCGGTCCACTGGCCGACTATCCTGACCGGGTTTTCCTCAGTTCTGGGATAGGTTACGGCCGCTTCCTTCCACATCCTTTCCAATTCACGATCTTCCGCTCATTTTACGCTATATAGTCTGAAGTAAATCTCGGTCCACTGGCCGACTATCCTGACCTGGTTTTCCTCAGTTCTGGGATAGATTACGGCCGCTTCCTTCCACATCCTTTCCAATTCACGATCTTCCGCTCACTTTACGCTATATAGTCTGAGGTAATTAAAAAGCGTCGTTAAATAAATTACGATAAGGCCTACATATGTACATTTCTAACTGATTACAATTTATTATAATTAATTATGTCTCTCAAATCGCTCTGCAAGCCTTTGTACTTCCATAGAGTATTTTATTTAGTGTTCTGTGTGACGACAGGTCCATATGAACAGGATCCTTCCATCCTTTTCTCGGACTGGGACCTGTTCATATACGTTCTTGGCAGATGATCCAGAAGTGGTTTGCCATTGCCTTCTTCTGTGTGTGTGAATGGAGTAATTGTTACCTCATCTTATTTTTATTTAGTGTTCTGTCTGCCGACAGGTCCATATGAACAGGATCCTTCCATCCTTTTTCTCGGACTGGGACCTGTTCATATACGTTCTTGGCAGATGATCCAGAAGTGGTTTGCCATTGCCTTCTTCTGTGTGTGAATGGAGTAATTGTTGGGATACCACGGAGGAAAACTCCGTGTTGCCTAGACCACGGCCTTGCCCAACACAAGTTATAAATTCGGGCACCGCCGGGAATCGAACCCGAGACCGCTAGACCACCGTGGCGGTCTTTCATAGAGTAAGCAAGGTAAATTTTGGCAGGTGTTGAAACGGGTAAATTTTTAGAATTTCGTTTACGTACGAACTTCACATATTCAAGTAGGTGTTTCTGTCCGGTGATAAAGAGGACCTCTGGTCACTTAACACAAAAGAATTTATTTAAATTCCATTTATCATTAGCTGAAGTTGAGGACTCACAACTGCGTGATTTTTTTAAACTGTAGATTACGTAAGAAAACAGCTGTGCGTCAGATACGATGTAATTTAAAAGAAAAAACGCAGTGTTTTAAGTATGAGATGTGTTCTACAAAGAGTTTAACTGTTATTAACTATATACAAAAGTATATCTATTATTATCAATAACATGAAATTATATATCCAAGCATTTCTCATTCTTTCACAAAATGGCGTTCCTCTAAAATAAACAGACAGTGTTACCAATAGGAAAGAAATGGATATGTTTAACTTCATAAAATAACTCACTTTTACTTTCATTCAGTGAGACAAAATTGTGAGTAACACCCTGATAACCTATAAATGGTACCTTTCATTTTGAAATATAAGAATCGTGTTATTACAAATACAAGGAGACGATAAAGTTTTTCTTATTTTGAACAGCTGTACATTTACGTCATTTTCAGTTTCAGATTTATAAAACTGCAAGCACTCCATTGTTGCACAAATTACACATTGTTGTAGATCAATAGACAAAACATGACGGAATAATTATCACATATTATAAATGAAAATTATTACAACGCAGATTCGGGAATTCATTCCTGCATGTACTCCTGAAAGAAAGTTATGATCTAGAACAGTGGTATTCAGTATATTATTAAAACGAAAATACTAGGACCAGAATTCCTTCTTTCCTTGCATAATCGTGTGAACAGAGGCACGTCCCAGACTGTAAAATTTTATACCGAATATTTTTCTTTAAAAAAATATTTATAATAATAATAATATTTTATTGTTTTCATACATTTATGAGAAAATAATGAAGGAAAGGTTGAAATGTCTCACAGACTTTGATTTTCGTTCTGCGAAGAATATGATTATCGCTGTCTGTCCACAATCTACCATCAGCAGCGCTCACTGTAAAACTAACTTGATTAAGGTCTCGTTTAGAACCAATTCAAATGAAATTCTAAATAATAATGAGAAACCTACTTCTGATCGCAACACAGTAAATGATATAAGCAGTGAATTGAAACGAGTGGTTTCAAATATTTATTTGTAGGATCTGAGGTTTGCACGGCGGCGAGTTCAAAGATTGCTGACTTCCGGGTTGTCGCACCTTGTAGTCTGGTAGAAGTTTAGCGACGTTTCAGAGGTCATTGCTGCCTCCATCATCAAGGTTATGAAATGGATACGGTTGGATGTCGATTGTACAGCGATCGATTCTTAGAATTTTCAACTACGCTGCCTTATTTTAATAATCTACAGTGTTATTAAGAGGGTAAGATGGTCATGACTGGTGAATGGATACATCCATTACCCTGATGATGAAAGCAGCAAGGGCTACTGAAACATCAGTAAGCTTCTACGAGGCACAACTCAGAAGGCAGACATCTTCATATATTTATTTCATACAAAGCAAATGGCACGTACAAATAAGTCTTACACAATACGAAGTATTAATAAATTATACACCAAGAAGATACTAAAATATCGGATAGCCCACAGCTAGATGGGAAGGAGCGGTCTCTTGAAGTCGAAAAAGGCCCCAAGACTACGTCCTTGAAACTGAAGAAAAGAAACACAACTGGAATAACTTCAAACATTTTTTGTGGCGTGCGGCAGAAGTGATGTAACTCCAAAGATAACCGCTAGGAGCACAGTTATTGACGTCAGTAAAACGGGGACTCAACCCAATGTTCATAAGTTCCACTGTTCAATGGGTTATTTTAAGTCACTTCGCCCATGTTCACAAAAGATTTTTGAAGTTCTTCTTCCAGTGGTATTAGTTTCATTTCTGTACGTCATTTATTTTTTGCTAAATAAATATCTGAAACCACTCACGTCAATGTGTTCACTCTGCATAACAAAGTTGCACAGTGTCAAGAGCTATATGTACTCCACTTTGGAGGAACTGTAAGTTTTCTGAATGCATTCGTTCCATTTTGATTCCCCTCGTAGATGTTTATTTACTACAGCTACAAATCTCGTTGACAAAACTAATCAAAAGTAAAGATACTACACTAGTCAAAATCTGTTTATAAACAAGCTAATTAACATTTGATACATTATAATAAATTGTATTATTGACATAACATTATGCAGATAATCATTTCTTTATTTGTTAAATGTAGACCATATAGAAAGTGCTTCAAATAAGAATCTTAGATATTATGAAATCTATAAAACATGAGCCCATTTTTGTATAATTAATTGTGAGAAATCTATTAAAATGCTATTTGAATTACATGCGAATATGGCTTACAGTACACTTTCGCCTAATAACTTCAAGTGTAGTCTTCTTGTGCCATTTCATCACATACCTTGAAGTGGTCTGGAAGATTAAAAGTGAAGACGAACACGATACGATCTGCCTATTACGTGTTCAACAGCTGCTCCGAGTGCAAAGAAAAAACTGCGGAGTTTAAAATTTCACATATTAGAAAAATATTAAACCAAGGTACAAACCACATATGATATGAACTAATTCATTCCATTCATGAAGTGTTCTTATTTGAAAGATCAATGCTACATAACCTACAAAGTTTAAAATAGTTGTTAAAATCTTACTGAAAGGAAATCCTCACATATGAGACCTAAAGACGCCTCAGTTAAATGGAAATGGCGGAAGAATACGGTGCCGAGTAAAGCAAAGATTTCTATTTAAAAATTCTTGTGCCAATTCCCAAAAATCTCATATATGTTAAAACATACAACGCAGTAATTACTCTGTACTTATAATCTAACGATTGCACACATAAAAACAAATTAAGTTATGCACGGATACATTATCTCTTTCAATGTGGCCATGATTAAATAAAAGTCTCTTCAGGAAGGAGGCACGTTTAATCTCCTGCGAATGACCAAATTTAAGTAAATGATATAAGTTACCGATATTCAAGTAACGTACGTTCTAAGGCTATTCACAAATATAAACAGCTTGGCATTACTGGCAAGTAATACCTACATACAAAATTATAAAGGTATATGATGTGCATACATGTGTGGAAACTATACAAAACTGAAAAGTTTCCATTTGCCTACATAAACTATGATTAACCCTTTCCACTACCTGCTTGGATCTGATTCACAGCTGAAACATATCTGAAAAGGCTGGTATCTGTATTATTGCTGATGGAAACTAGAATTACCAGTATTTAAACCCATAATTATTCAGAATAAATCCTTTAAATAAGTCTTATATGCTTTGATGAAAACTTAACTAAAAAAGTCCTGAGTACATTCTAGTCGTAATGTAGTTTAAGGCACACACAGTCTTAGGCTAATCGAACATTTAGTCATCAGCCTCAAATTCCATGCAGAACACAGATGTTTGTGTCATTTTTATTGCTGTAAGTCATCAACATCAGTGGTATTCCACCTTTTTTGTTTGCGTACCCCCATATATAATCTCTCTTCAACTTTGTACCCCCAAAGTTGTTGTTGTATAATTCAAGTTATACATTGTATACAATATTCATCTACAATAAATTACATTCAAAATAATGTATTAAATCTGGCCCTGATTATTCAGTGCTTATCATAAAATATTTTTTTTTTTAAATTTCGAGTACCACCCAAGATGTCTCCGCGTACCCCCAGGGGTACGCTTACCCCATGTTGAATACCACTGATCTAAATCATGACCATCATCACCTTCAATTTTGGGCTACTAAAGGTTGGCCCACCATGTACAGAAATAAAATGCTTATATCTCAAGAACCTTGGGGCATTATTCCAAGATTTGACAGAACACAGGAAAAAAAAAAAGGCCCAATCTGGCTCACACCTCACAAAATGGGACGTGGAAAGGGTTATCTTATTACAACTTTCTCTATTACATTTTAAACACTCTTTTGATCCCCGATAGGGATCACAGACTACCGAACGGAAACCTCGGAACCACAGTGGGATCTTCAGTTCACAATTCCACTATAATTTCATTTACTAGCAAAAATGATGTTACTTATCTAGGAGGAACAATCCCCATTGCAACTAGCATCATTATTAGACATAATTAAACACAAAATAAATATTATACAACAAAACATTACAGTAAAATTTTCTTATAATACAATCTCCACTTGTACTTGCTGCTAGGTGAAAATACTGTACGTACATACTCCATGTACGTATGATCTAAATATGAAGTCGAAACTCAGTGCAATATATGCAGACCATACGATATCTGAGCAGTACACATGTTCAGGTATCTTTTTTTACACTCAATAATCGATTAAATTCTGCATATATTTTGTTGAATATAGAGTCACTTTTGTTACAGGAATGTTCCTTCTTACGTGAGTTCTA